GCGGCTGTGGGGGTCGGGAGAGGGACCAGCGCCTCGCTGAGCTGGTGGAGGAGCTCACCACGTCGGGGGAGCCGCAGCTGGAGCCGGGCAAAATGAAGGAGCTGAAGAAAATCTGCAAGTAGGGGCCTGTCCGCGGGTTCCGGCTGACCGGGGCAGGGGCGGGCCGGGCCGGGCCGGGCCTTCGCCGTCCGGCCCCAGAACTGAGCTTTTCGGGTTAAGGCAGCAGGTGCCGTGGAGGCTGCCCCAGAGTCTCCTGAGCGTGTTGTTTCAGCGGTACACGGCATTGCTGTCGGCACAGAGGCTCTTGGTTTAAAAAATAAAAAAACTATGTGCGTGTCTGCGTGATAACACTTTTAAAATAAAACCTGTTCTTTCTGTTTTTTTTTCAGGTCTTCAGATGAACACATCAGCCATGCCTATCATCTGCTGATGACACGGCTTAACGAGGAGCACGCCGAGATACGCTTTTCGGCTTTTCAGATCGTGCACGAGTTGTTTACCCGATCGCATCAGTTCCGGACGTTAATTATTTCCAACTTCCAAGAGTTCTTGGAGCTCACGGTTGGGATAGACCATGAGCAACCTCTTCCCCCGCCCAAAGAGGTGGCACAAAAGCTGAGAAAAGCAGCCATTAAGGCAGTACAAGACTGGCATGAGAAATATGGAGAGGCCTACAAGCAGCTTTCTCTGGGATACCACTTTTTAAAGCAGAATAAGAAGGTACTCTGCATTTTTACTTCAGTTTGTGTTTTTAGGTAATGCTCTCTAGGAGATGTTTAAAATGAAGAAATCAATACATCTAAAAGGAAAACTGTTGGAAGGAAAACACTATCTTTAAGAGTCATCCCCTTGAGCATAGTCTTTCAAAAGCAAAGCCCAAACTCATGCACACTCCCTTGGATTTATGGTGATAACTCTCACGTGAAGCAAAACTGTCACCTTAGAGCATAACTTTAAAGATCTTCAGAGAAGGAGGCCTTAACTAATCTAATATAGAGTACTTTCTAAAAGTTTTCTGAACCTAAGATGCTTTTTAGAAAAACGTTGCCGTGTTTCCGTGAACTAGCAAGACTAGTCTTAGAGGAAAACTTGTACTTCACAGTATCACCATACTGTAGTGCTGGCCAGAAAATGAGCAAAGCTTTCTAGTACTGTTGAAGCAGGTGTCTTTTTATTATGACCCAGTCCTTCCCTCAGAATGCTGACCTGTTTTCTGTGATTCCTTTTTTTTTTTTCTCCCTTCATTGACTGTCATATGTATGCAACTTACAGTTTAGTTATTAAATCTGCTAAGGTTTAGCATTATCTTAAATACCAGCCAGCTAGTTGAGGTGCGGAGAAAGGGCTGTCTGAGTCTCCAAACTAAGCTGCAGTCTGACAGCCATAGAACAGTAAGACGTATTTGTGGAAGGGGCTGAACTATAACGGAGAGACTACAGATTGCAGGGTAGCGATGGGGAATGAATTGTTTTTAAAGTGATAAAGTACTAGGAGGACATAGAGGACATCTCCATATCAGAGGAATAGATTACACATTGGAGGAGATCTTGTTCATCTGCTATCATGGTAAAGGAGTTAAATAAAACCCCCAGGTTTGTACCAAGAACTGGAATTAATTTGTCTTTTCTCAGAGTGCAAAAATGTTGTTCAGCTAGCCTAGCTCAGATAAGCATAAGTGGGGGTAGGCCTGTCTTGCGCTATCTCAAGCCTCAAAGTGTAGCCTTTTTAGAAAGGAAATGACACTTTAAACTGAGGATGGTCTCAGCTGTTAAGTCTTTCTCTGGAAGTTTAAAATAGCCTTATTTCTGTACTGAACTATCTCGTTCTGGCTTCCTTTCACTACCCAACAAAGAGAACACGTGTACGTGCTAGCCCCCCTCAAATGCAGGGTCGTTGTGTGTCATATGAGAAGTTTAATTAAAGAGAAATTTCTTGTGTATAAACACTATCTAGGCCTCCCTTCTAGGCCTAGAATTATACTATGTTTCGATCGCTATTTTGCTGTAGTATCTTCTGAAATGGAGCAATGACATTGGGAACACTATTCTAGCATTCACGCTGCCTACGACAATAACATTGTGCTTGAAATAAAAACTATAGATTGTATTCCTCTTCAGAAGGACAGGTGCTCAGTGTTTCTAACAGTAGATCAAAGAATATTGCTATTCTTGATGTATTGAGATATTTCTGTTGTTCTCTTTCTGTACTAGATACTACATAATATTCCACCCTACTTGTATTATTTATTATGTTGTGATCCTTTTATTGAAGTTTTGGCATCTTCTCACAAAGGGATGATTGTCTTTGAATCCTCCCTTATTCTCTTATTTAATAAGGGGGGAAAAAACCCTCTAAAAGCAATGAAAGTGACAAGGAGAAATTGCAAGACTGATGCAGAGGATCTTTAGTACATAACACAAATTTATCAGATTGGATGCTCAAGTGTATGACAAGTTTACTGAAAATTGGTGTGTTTACCTGGCCTCCTGTGGCTGATGACTGCTCCTTCGTCATGATTGGGTGGTTGCATTGTACCTTTGTGATAATACAGTACTATTTTCTAAAGCAGCTGAATTTGAATCCTTTCAGAAGCATTCATACTTTTAGAAACAGGTTAATCTAGTTTGACAGCTCTTGTACTTTGGGGTTAGGATCAGCCTGCTTCTTGCCATTTTAATACTTGAAGTGCAAGATCTGGGAGGAGGCCTTCTGACTTTGCAAGTAAAATATGTCTGCCGTTCTGTATTACAGATTTGGCACAATACCATCGGGCAATCCAAGAGGAGTGTTAGTGACATCTCTGTTTCTTTCAGATTATCTTCACCAAAATCACCTTCTAAACACTTGGTCAAAATATGACAACTGATGCCTGAAGTTGTTCTTGCTGTAGTGGTTTAGTGTAGTGCACCAGAGAGCTACCTGCTGTTTTAACATTAGGAAGTCTGAATTATACCTATATAAATACTTGACTTTGAGAACAAATAATATTTCAGTACATCTGAAAATAACTAGGTTTTTTTTTTTTTTACCTCCTGTCTCAAAGCAAAAAAAATTATTTCAAACATTTCCAAATGCTTGTGTATTTAGGTAATGCAACTATAAGTTGTGCTGTGGTTTTTTGTTTTTTGCTTTTTAATTTGTGGAATGCATAGGTCAGTTTTATGGAGTGAGATGGGACAGGAGGGGAACAGGATTTTAACAGACCAAAATGAAGTATACAACTGCTGTATTCCAATATTTTCCCCAAAGCTGCAGTATCTGTTGTTGTCTAGGCCCAGAACTTACACCATTTAAATCAAGAAGAATTGTTTGCGCCTCTTCACGTGCAGTTCCAGAATTACAGACCACTGATAAAAGGCTTCACGTAGCCTGTACACAGGCAGAACAACAACACTAATCTCTGTCGCTGTCACCTAAATGAGATTAGATGTATTCTGACCAAGTTAGTGCTGACACAAAGTCCATGTGCAGAACTGTAATTCAGGTCCCAAGTTCCTCTGACGTTGCCATGCTCCTTTAAGTGGAGGGCGTGGTGTATTCTGGGCAACTCAAAGCTTTTGGTGTGCTCTAGGTGTGCTTGGTGATGTATATCTAGTATGTGAGATGAGGTTTTTATTAACAGCGGGGAACCGTAATGATATGGTAGATGTTGTAAGGGAAGCTTCTCGCTAAGTGTCAAAGGCTGAACCAGAATATGGCAGAGTGAGAGGGCAGCATGTGGCTGGTCCCTTTGGAACAAAGAAAGGAAAGGAATGGGCAAATGGCTCTGCCATAGGTATTCTGATCCAAGGTGGAAGCTGAGATTTAGGAAGCTCTAGGTATCCCTGGTTTGCCGTGCAAGTCAAGTCTGACTGCCTAGAAACACTGCCTCGAAGTTTCTGGATTCAGTATCTTTGTTTACAAAGCAACATAAGTCACACAATTGGATTTAATGCAGTAGTGCGTCTTTGGAGGATCTATTTCTCCTGCTACTGTGTGGAGAGCTACGCAAACTTGGTAGAAAAATGAGATCCTGAAAACCGGAAAAACTGACCATGGAGAATCAAGTACTGCTATAGGTTGTGAAATTAGCTCTTTTCTCTACCTTCTCCGATGTCCCTGATAAAAAGCGAGATTGGTAAGTGTGTGTCTCTTCCTAATGTGGTGGAGACTCTGCATGTCACTTTCTGTGAAAAGTGAAGTAGCCTTTTACTCCTAGAGGTTTTTAGGTAAACTGTTCATCCATAAAGTGTTTACGTAAATAATACTTGTGAACACCTTAAGCCTTGTTGCACATAGTGGGAATGTTTGGCATGTGGAAACGTGCATATAGTCAGACACTTCAGTTAAGCCCAAGTTCAAGCATTTGTTTTTTAACTTCCATTATATTTAATGGTATTACCTATGAAAATGTTTCACTACATTTGAGAAGAGGAAGCAACAAAAATACGTGATTGTGCAAGAGATAACCAAATTTCATTTGTAGGATGTACTTGGTCAGCTTGACCTGTGGCTAGTAAGTCCACGTACATATGACAGAAAAGATTTCCTAGGACTAAATAGAAATTGAGACTTATTTGTCATATTTATGACGATCTCAACATCGTATGGGCCTCTACCTTGTAAGTCAGGTCTAACTTCACTGTTTCACTTGTGTAGCTCCTGTTAAGATAGAACGTCAGTGTCCGGGAGCCATTACTGTATTTTGATAAACTTTCTTGCCCAACAATCCAAGCATCCGTTAAACGTTTCTCTTTATCATAATACAGACATAGCACCAGAGAGACTGTAGACTTCATTTGCAGAAATGTTCTAAAGTATGGATTTGCTGAGCATAATCTGTGTTGAGGTTAATGAAAGTTATGTGGTAGCATTCAAAATGAAATTGTATGTAGCAGTCAAGGTTTTTCCTTTTTGAAGGGTTTGCTTATGCACTAACGTAATTCAAGATTTCTTCCCCGTAAAACAGAAGTGAAAAATACTAACATGTTCAGGCCCTTTTATGAATTAGCTGAAAAACCCCACTTCATATTTTAAAAGTACAAATATTTTAAGAAACAGCAACTTGACTCACTCAGATTTCTGTTTGTATTTTTACAATATTTTAGTTACAAGAAGGTCAAGTGAGACTAAATTACAGCCTTTCTCTCAGTCCCCAGCTCCAAAAAGTTTAACTGTAAAATTCAAAAATCAGTCGTACTATAATGAATTTGAATGCCTTTTCTACTACTTTACTTACTTACAGAGTTGTTCAGTAAGTGATATATATATGTGGTCATAGTGATCACAAGTTTTCCTAAATTTCCTTTATTGAAAGTAGACCTAGCACAGTATTTTCGTATAATACAAATAGTTGCCCTATGTAGTCCCGTCCCGCTCCCAATCCTGTATCTCCAGTGCTGTGACAGAGGTCTCCCAAAGCCTAGTTCATTCTTACAATTTAGGTATGGAAATGTAAACATTTTGTTTTTCTACCTTATGATTCCTTTCTGATAAGGGACTGCTGCGAATCAATGACTTTCAGTACAAGTAAAAACTCCATTCAGAATTACTGTAGTTATTGATTCCAGGAGGAGAAGAGATAAAAGGAAGTACTGCTGAGCTGCTGGCTGATCACTGATGTTAGTGGATTTTTCACCACAGATAAGGATCCTAGGAAATGGATTTTCTATATATTTCTTACAAGGAGTGTAACACTTCTTTTTTTATTTTTATTTTTTCCCATTTCCTCCTTAGGTGGATTTTCAGGATGTGAGTGCCAGAACCCTGGCTGAAAGGAGGAGGGAAGAGGAGAAACAAAAACGATTGGATAACATTTACAAAGAAAAAGCCAAAAGAGCTGAAAAAGAAATGGCAGGTGAATTATTGTGGTTCTTCCTGTTTGTTGTTGTTGTTGAAGCACCTTTTACAAAGTTATATAAAACAAATTCCAAGAAAGTAGCTATCCAGGTCATAGCTGACTGTTAAAGGGGAGAATAGTAAACAGTGTGCTTGATTTGTTGTCATCTACGGAGTATTAGAGAAAACAAGTGGCAGTCCCATGAGCTCAGGTAGTATGAAGGGATTGGAAAAAAAAAAAAAAAAAACAATACTGAATTACAGACCAGACCTTTAGTCAACAAATTATGACTGCATGACCGTGAGCATATCAAGATCATATCAAGATACCTTTTGGAGCCAGCGGCTTAATTTCTGTGTCTAGTCATAGACACAGACATGACTTCTTAGTAACTTACTGACTGATGATCTGAATTACATGATATATGCAATTACCACGTTCCAGAAGTATGGGCGCTGGTCTGCACTGAAATCCTCCATGTGGTGTAGCAACTCAATGAAAAGTATCAGAGTATTGCTCAAAATGTGTCTGATTGGGGACTGAATCTCTAAGTGGTGTGCATAAAGCAACGGAGTAGTGAGTATATTATGTTGCAGTTACAAAGGGTTGTTTAATGAAATTGCTTTGGTTTATGCAATGCCTGCATGCGTGTCTGCATTTACTCTGCATGCTGTTAGCCTTTTTCATGCACAAGGGTGAAATTTTAAAGACGTTTAACCTTTTAAAAGTCATTTTTGTTTGTAATATCTCTTTCAGCTGTAGTATATATTCATGGGTGCACCTAGAAGCAACTGTAACATCCATGGCTGTAGAATGAGTACTCACCAGCATCACTTAGAATATCCTCATTGAACCTTGTTCTCCTTAAGATAGTTCATAACATTTTAAGTCGTCTTTGATAAATAATGAAATTTTAGGGAGAAAGGAAAAAGACAAACATTGGTTCTAAATTTCTTGCCCAGGAAATGCTGAACTTCTTGCTTAAGGAAGAGTTGTGGCTTTTCTAAATATAATTTCTGGAGTCGAGAGAAGTATGTATGGAGGAATAGTATTGATCACCGGTTAAATGGATTATCATTTTGACAGCTAGATTTGTTTTGTAGATCTGTATCTGTTCCAGAGACATTAGCATTTTACATTGTTTAACAATATTCTAAAACAATTGTCTCCTAATAGAAATGTCTCAGGAGATTGCTGACACGCTGACAGAGATGGAAAACTGTTTCCAGCTTCTAATGCCAGATCCTTTTGACTTCACTATGAATGACACAGAACTGGAACCCAACAAACAAATGACTGCTAATGAAGACAAACCTGCATCTCCCTCGTCCTCTCGGATAGCACTTCACCCATCTTATTTTGGACATGCGGATGATGAACAGCCGTGCTGCAGCAAGGACCTTCTTTCTGTTTCTCAGTGTGTTAAAACTGATGGAAATGAAGAGCTGAGTGAGCAGCAGCAGGAGCTGGAGCAAAAAGAGTTAGATAGAGGCACCCACTCAGAATTTGGATCTGGTGTCCCTGCTCTCAGTGATGATGATTACCAAACTTTTGTTAGGAACCATGGACTTATTTCTCATAAGTATACTCTAGACCTTGAAATCTCCACAGGTACCTGGAACAGTTTTTCACAGATGGCTGGAGAGAGTCTTATTCTGAAGTGCTTTGTTGTTGCTTCTTTCTATGACTGTAATAGTTGGGGCTGCTGGACACCATTTTCATTTATTTTGGAGTTCTCTTCTACTTCTGGTTCATCTAGTATCCATTCTTAGGTTTGGGTTGCCTTATGTGTTCTTTACAGATTTTATTAATCAACTTTTAAGATTATGCTTTTGTATTAGTTGTAATTGTAGTACAGTGCTTCATAGTACCAGTAATAAGATGAGAAGTTTCTTAAAAAATTTAAAGTCAGTTTACAGAATATAGTTTCCTTTTCCATGTGCTTCACGACTCCTTTCTTTCTCTCTTCAGGTGTATAAGGTACTAATTTAAATATCTAAGAATCGGCAGTTTCTTCAATTTCTTTTTCTTATTGTTGACAACTTGCAAGAAGCAATGAGTAGAGTTCTGGTAGGAGAACCGTAAGGTTCGTGATTATACCAAATCACAGCCTACACTGATTTTTTTCCTGCAGGTAACTCATATTAGCAAAGTTATATTAAAAGGGTAATCTAAGTGAAGTGCCTTATAGATACAGTTCTAGTAGAATTTTATGTGCAAACAGCCAGGAAGACAGGTACCTACTTCTGTGCTTGCAGACAACAGAATTGGAAATGGATCTTCAGGGATTATGAATGACTAACAGATGAACAGTTCCATTTTCACTTGGGTAGTGGCATACTTGCTTCTTTGACAGTCAAGTCCCTATTGCCATTTTGGGCAGGGACCATTTCGTACTGAATATGCAGAAACTGGTACAATGAAGCCCATGTAATGTAAATGATAAGCCTTCACTTGCCTTTGGTTTATTTAGCGATTCCTGAGTGCTGACGGCTTAGCCATTTTTCTGTCTTCATCAGAATGAATTTTTTTCATCTTTTCTTCCGATTAATAGTTGATTCTGAACACAGTAGCACTCTGATGTCTGTAACCTTCCCTGAAGTGATCCAATATATTAACAAGATTCTCATATACTTTTCCATGAAGTTTTTTTTAGCTCTTGTAGAAGACGACACTATAAACCCCGTGTACTAACCCTTTTCTCCTGTTTTGAACAGATATAAAAGTACATGAGAATGAAGATAATACAGCCATAATAAACAATATCATGGATGCTCACAGACTCCTTAGAAATAAGTTCTTGCCTTCTGTGCAGTCCTGGATTCAGGTGGGATAAAGAGCTGATTTCTTCATTTCTTATGAAAAGATAGAGGAGCAAGGGATGGAGTATGGTAAAGCTTGAGGTAGAGGGCCAAAAAACAAACATGAGGAACGAAGTTGAACTTGGAACAAAGTTGAACTTGAAACAAAGTTGAAGAAACAGTGGTTCAAATAGAAAAGGTTGCTGATTTAATAGAGGTGGGTAAGATGAAAGTGCAGGAGCTGTATAACTTGTCTGATGGCCCTTAGTGTAGGTGTGCTACCTACAACAGTAGTGAAGTCTTTTGTATCTTTTGTTTGTTTTTATTCTTTTAATACCATGTTTTAGAAAATATATCCCCTTCACAGAGGGGTTAAAGTAAAAATCAGCTTGTTTGTCAGACATGCCTGTATCAGACATGCCTGTATCAGAAAAACACTTTATGTTAGTTGATATTACTGCTCAGAAACCTCATGCATGGAGTTTGGCATACTAAATGACACTCCCAAAGGCAAACGTTTATAGCAGCTGTTCGTTCTTTATTTGTGTTTAGTTGTTGCTGTTAGCTTTTGTATTCTAGATGGTGAAAGATGTAGGTTCACTAATTTTTACTTACGCAATAAAGGAATTTGTGACAGTGTTGTTCCATTAAAAATGGAAGAAAAAATGTTTTTTGTCTCTGGTGTCTAGGAAAAAGAATAAGAATGTAGGTTTCTTGCTTTGCAGTTATTTACCAGAGCAGGAATAAATGATGATCGGCTAAGATGTGCCATTGACCTCAAGAATAAACTGGAGGTTGCGATGAAGAAATACAAGGACATGAACATTTCCTTTAAGGAGAGGAAAAGAAAAGTGGTGAGTTTTTTAAGTCCTGGAGAGGAGCGTTATTCATTCTTAGCTTGTATACAAAAAACACAGCTTCTCTTAAGCCTTAATCCTGCAAACTTCTCAACACAAGGTTAACCAATACGTACACTATTTCAGCTGGTTATAGTTTCACTCCGGAAGGTTGAACCAAACACGTGTGGTGCCTGGGATCTGGTTATCACACAAAAACACATAAGCCAGCACTGTTACTGTTTTATATAGAGAAGTGGTTAAGTTCAGATTTTATTTACCTTTCGTATGAAACGTTGCTATATCCTCAGCTTCTTTTGTGTAGATACATATTTCTCAGTAAATATTGGTATTATTCCTGTTCTTTTACAGTGTGTTAACTTACACTAGTGCCTGACAATTCAGGGAAATACTCTGCTTTATAGCATTCACTCTCTGTAGTGAACAGGTGATGTGATTGTGGACTGCTTGTAAGACCTGGTCGTTATATAAAGCTTTAAAGTGTCAAAATATTTCACAAAGATTAGCTCCCTATGACCGTTTTTGTAAAATAGGTAGGATTGAGGATATTAAATTTTGAGTAAGCTGGGCCTGAAAGATCAAATAATAATCCACAAAAGGAGTCTATGGCTTGTTTGTATACCTAAAGCAGCAGAGCTGCATGACACCTATTTCTGTTGGCTGCAATCAAGCAGAGTTGCTGTATAGCTTGTTATGAAAATAAATGTTTTGGGTCAGCGTCGGAGTGAAGGCTGGCTTCTGATGGGATTGCAAGAATTTGATCCGGTCATTGCATCTTGGGTTAAAGGGTAGTAGCCTAGTTTAGCTATGACTGAGTGTTTTAGACTTGCTTTCATTGTGCAAATGAACCTTTATCAAGATTAATCTGATTTATCATCTTAATAGTTACTGATATACCACACCCATCGGAAATGCCAACTCTGAATGAAAAGTACTGAAAGATTGTCTTGTCAGAGGTTTTTTTTCTTCAGTGAAATATATGCACTACCTTTATGCAACCAGCTATGAAGGAATCCAGACATCTGCTGTCATTCCTGCCATTTGCTTGACAGGACTTCATTTGCTGGTCCTCTGCATGGAATATTGGTTGCTATATTTCTTGCAAGATATAAATGACATTCAAGCCTTGAATTTTTTTTTTTCTATGTGTATATTTATATATGGTTAACACCTAATAAACTCCACTGTTACAAAAAAGGAAGGTACATAACAGTGCTCAGAAAGACATATAAAATGAAACAATGCAGACTGAGGTATGTAATTTATGCATTGAAACTGTACGTATTTATTCTTAGGGTTTTTCTTTTTGTGGAAAATACCCAAATTTAGTTTTACTGTTGAATTACTTTAAACTTGTAACTTGAAGAAAGACAGCTTTGTGCTGCAGGAAGAAGTGTATAAAATGTCTCTTATTCACATGCGTCAGGTGTCTTGGTTGAAACTGAAGAACACAGTAAAATGAGAGACCGATAGAACAAAATAAGCAACAGTGCCTCTAGACCTTGATTATTAAATCCCTATCCATCAAATATTTACATGTTAGCATATGAAACTACACCCGACTCCTCTTAATTTAACATTGCTGCTTGCAGTATGTATAGTTGCTTCTGTCTATATGTTTTTGTGTCATTGGCGCTATGGTTCTTGCCGCTCCAAAGTCTTGCTATCATGTAACATTATCTCCTGTATTTTTAGACCCAAGAGAATTACTAATAATCTCTCCTCCAGAGCAGTATCTTGCGGCCATCTTATCTTTTCAGAGTTCGGTGTATTACAAATATTATTTGTTAGCACACTCGAGTGAGTGCTCTACCTGCGTGTGTGTAGAGATGAGCATATATAGAAACACAGGAGAGCACTTAGTTGGACAGAGGGAGTAAATGAAGTGTCTGAGTGCTGAAGGTCCCGTGTAAATTGGCTGGTTTGTAGTTATCTGTGACAACCCTGGATATTTTGACATTTGATATCAATTTGCTTGGCAACTAGTCATTGCAATCTGAAGTACATATGTTGTTAACTGGAGAACATAAAGGTGAATTGTTTATGTATCCATTTATTTCTTTGAGTGTAATTATGATCCTGCACCACAGGCATGCCTTACCTTCGGGGAAAGCGTGGTTTTATTTTTTCTGGCAAAAATAAAACAGAAAAGTAGGAACTTGGAAACGTGGCCTGCCCAGTCTCCTCAGCCTTTCTGCTCTTCTGCTGTTTCTTTGTGCTTATGTGGTCTCTAATTTCCTCCATTTTCATCTTTGTTCTGTGCTTTGTTTCCTTTCTCCTCACTCTTGCGCTAGAATGCCTTCTCAGAGGTTTTTGTTTTGATGCAGAGGAGAAAAGGAAAGGCTTTACCCACCCACAGACTGAGCTCAAGAAAGTTGATAAAGGGAGGGTTTTGATGAGAGATTGTACAGTGGAACTGGAGGAGATTTGTTACTATTCACTCTATACTTCTCAAACCAGGAAATACTTGAATTGCCAGTAGAAGAAGGAACGTCCTGGTTTCTTATCATGGCCACGTGCCATTGATGCTGCTGTTTAGCTGAGCTGAGCCGAGCCAAGGTACATGTGCCCATGGCTGAGATGAAAGGAAGGTATATGCACGGTAATACTTGATGCTGCGGCACCATGTAATGTAGATGGATATAAGTTACATTGGGAGGAAGAAGTCAGTGGTTACCTGTCCTATCTTCACAGAATAATTGCTTGGTTACTGCAGGAAGTTGTGGATCAAAGTTCTTGCTGCTTTTGGTAACTACCACCTTGGTGCTTTTCATGGTCTCTCATTCCACTTTCCAGATTACAGAGCACTAGTCTACCAGGCAGTATCCTCAGACAATTAGAGCGTGTTAAAATATTTTGTGTTAATTTTCTCTCTGACATTTTTTGCCTTTATAGAAAAACCGTAAGGACCCACTGCTTTGTGAACTACAGGAATTTTATGAAAGCACAAAACTTTATGCAGTGAAACACTAACTATACCTTATAGTATGGAGTGGTTTATAGTGACATCAGATATAACTACCTCTTTTATCTACTCCATGATAGCGAAGAACTCAAATCATCAGAAAGCCTTGATTATAAGGAGGGTGGCCATCTATATGTAACACTTACACCGTGCCGACCATGGCATCCTTCTGCTCTTTTCTATATCTGGAGCCGTGCAAGCAGAGGGAAAAGAATGACAGAGGTTATCCTTTTAGTGTCTAGAAACAAGTCCCTCGGAACAGATTTTATAAATGTTAATTTATCCCATTGCAAACGGGAGTTAATACATTGCCCCAGCAGATCAGAAGTTGCAACACGTTTCTTCTTGAGTTTTTATTTTTTAAAGAGGCGGGAGGTGGAGAAACGGTGACAATCTTGCTGTGTTCGTCAAAGGCAGGAAGGAGTTTTTGTGTGCTTGCACAAATTACGTTCACCGTAGTTAAATGCTTGTTTGGGGAATGAATCAGATGTTGGTTCCTGATAGGAAACGTATCTGAAGAATATAAATGAGAGTTTTGAGATCCATTTTTCTATGGAACTAAATTTTAGCAGAATCTGGGGACAGAGGGCAGAAGCTATAAAAGAGCTCTTGTTTCACAGTACCTGGATGTCTGGACATACCACTTTCTTTTTCTTATGCCTATTCAGGATAATCTCAGTGTCCAGTAGAGGGAGTGCACACTGCATGCCTGACATTTTTCCCTCCACCACCTTTATCCAAAGGCAGCTATCATCTCAGTCTGTGTGTTTCCAGGTAAACCTATTATAGCAGCACTACGCTAGAGATACTTTAATAAGTTAGCTCTTGACTCTATTTAGATGAATTATTGTAGCAGTGTTGTTGTAGTCTCCTGGTTGGAAATAGTTTATTTTGTTCATGTCTTCCTTAAAATACTAGATTTTAAATGTTTTTTTCTTCTCCTCTAGTGTTTTGCTTTGCAGTTGATTAGATCCTAACGACACTGCAGTTTTAAAAGTTGTGAGAGGACAAACATGTACTCTACTTTAAAAGTCCTGCACAGTGTTTCATATACATTGCTTCCATAAAGGATTAGGATAATACTTAAAATTATCACGTTATTAATAGAAATGTAGCTCATTAGCATTTTGTATGCAGAGAGCATATTTATCTTTCGTGTGATTGCCTTTGGGAAGCAGTAGAAGGTGTAGTACTCAAGCTGACTAAAACTTGAACCAAACAGAAGGTAGTAGACAATATAATGTAGGAAATATGCAGCTCATTTATCTGTCAACAGAGTGATTATTTAACAGGCCTGTAATGTTTTGAATTCTTAACCTCAAGTTATACCGTCAACCTCGGATATATATATTTTCCATTAACTTTCTTAATTACCTTGTGTTTCACCTTTCCTTATCTGCTGTCATATGTAAGTGTGCACTTGGATCCTGATTTATACATGTGCTTGGTTTTATCCATGTGAAGCATCTGGTTGAATTCAGTAATGCCATTAATAATTACATTTGAAGCAGGGTCTCCTTGCGTCGTCCAGAACCTGATCCTTGCTCTGCTACCTAACCCCTACAGCAGTACAACTCAGTTATTTTTGAAAGTATAATTTCAGATATTATAGCAAACGGTGTTTACAAATTAAAGATTTATGGTCATAATTTTGTCTTAAAATATTTGAATACATAAAAAGACAAAAATGTTACTATGCAATAAATCAAGCCAAGAGCTCTGCCAATTACTTGGCTGCAAGACTATTGCTGACTTTAAACCAATATCTTTAACTGCAGCTTGGTATTTTGTCAGTGTTACTGAGTTATTTCTACCTAATTATTTTTTTTAGCTTGGCTCTTTTTTTAAAGTCGGTCTTTTAGTACCTGCTTTAAAAAAAACCTGCACTTGCATTTTCAATGAAAAGCAAAGGCTATATTGTTTTTTTTTCCTCTTTGTACATCCTTCTATAGCCATAGAGAATCCAGTTCAGCTGCTTGCTCTCTATTTTGTGTAACAATTTCTTGCACTCATTTCCTCCTTTCTTTCTGTT